TATTTCATTATTAAATATATAACAGTTTCAAATTTTCCTAAAGGATTCGGCATTAATGCTTGACGCAGAGTATACACATATCCTTGGGTATTGGGAACTAACATAATATTTAAAGTTCTATACACATCTGTTAATTATTTGCCTCTAATTGATATAATTATGTTAAATTTTATGATTTCAGAGTTTTAGTATATTTGTCGTTTAAGATAAAGACGAATCGTGTGTCGGTTGTCGGTAAAAGGTATGCTATTTTAAAGAATGTGCCCTTGTGGCATTTTCCAAGCAAGTGAGCGAATCGTATGCTAATACATTGAATTACTTATGCAACTGATGCAAATGCGGACAGCAAAATATCTTAAAACGCGATCATAGTATATTAGGTAAAAGATCTATAATAAAATTAATTCGCTGACAAATAATTTTAACATTAACACCTACAACTAACGTAAAATTATGCAGCTGACAATATCAATTTTATAGTTTGACCGGTAGCCGTACTACTGTAATGCAGAGTGTACAAGCGATAATGGTATCTATTACTGATACATATGGAGCATATTTGAGTTGGTCATGATAACTATCTTAAATTGCGATCTGTGGGGTATGACCCCCACCCACCCCTACTGTCATAAATTACAATAATTAGGAGATAATGTTTCATAGACAACGCACGTGTGCTATAGATCGTGCGGCTGATTTATTGTTAATTTCGTGTATTAAAATCAATTATATGAAGATAACATATGAAACAAAATTACTTAAAATATATATGTATTTATATAAAACTCGTTGAAAGTTACCTACGTCTATGTTTTGACCAATCAATCGTTTGAGGCTCTAGTTAATTTATTTAACTTTTTTAGAACCCAAAGATAATCTAGTAAATACCAGAGCTACGTATATCAAAACCATTAAGTAAAGAAACATAACGAACGAAAACTAATTTATGTTAAATGGTTAAAATCTCATAAGCACACTATGTAATTTTAATATAATCTCAGTCTATACAGGGTGACTGGTGAATTACTATCAATATTTAAGGAGAATACTCGGTACATGATTCTCATTCGAATTATGTAAAAAAAATAGATACTTAATTTTTGACAAAAATTCCGTATAAATAAATAAAGTGTGTACACGTTCCAAGTGTTCCAAGTGTGGACGCGTGCGGCGGCTTGCTGATACAACACTACGCCGCCACACGCGTATGTGTGAGTGTGTATATACACCTAATCTGTAGGGCGTTCACACGATGCGTAATTAATTACATAACTTTTGGTTAACTTTACTTAGAAGTTTATTAATATTTATGTTATATTAATTTTTATTTTGTCATATATGATCGTCAAATATCACGTCCTCAAATATCGATAGTAATTCACCAGTCACCCTGTATATATAGCGTTAAACATTCAGTTTTCTCTTAATGATCATAATGGTTGGTACAAGTAATGACATTCACATAAGATTGATCGACGTACGATCAACGGCGACGGAAAGAGAAATTCAGATTTTTTTGGCAATCAAATTAAATTTCAGAAATATCGCTTATAATTTACTTTATTACTTACAGATGAATAATAAGATTTCAAAATTTACTTAATCAAAATCAAAATCGAATAATTTAAATTTTGTATTATACATTTATCCCTACTAATAATTATTATAAATGCGAAGGTAACTGTCTGTCTGTCTGTTACGCTTTCACGCCTAAACCCCTGAACTGATTTTAATGAAATTTGGTACGGAGATAGAGTTGATCTCGAGAAAGAACATGGGATAGTTTTTATCCCAGACTTTTGGAAGGTTCTCTTGGAAACGCGATATAACCGAACTCGACGCGGGCAAAGCTGCGGGCGAAAAGCTAGTATAACATCTATAATCTTGATTCAGGATTTGATTTAACATTTATAAAACAATTACACGAAACGTTATAGTAAAAGATTTCAATTAAGATAAGGCGAGATAAATTGATTGCTTTATTTTGAACTTTAAAATAACTATTATCCAAGCTTAGCGGATCGTAAATACATTACAAAATAAGACATACGACAGTTTAAAAGAAATATATTGATATACTAGTATGGCTGTGTGTCAATGTAATCATATCTATATACATTAAATTAAATGTATGTGTGTTGAATCGAGGTGAATTATACGGATGTGAGAGGGTTCCTACCCAAAAATAATATTGATTTTGACATAAATTAAAAACAATTTAGTTTCTTAATGATAAGATTATTTTGTAATAAAGAGAAGCTTTATATTTAATTAAGTTTATACCACGATTCAACAACGTGTGAGATCAAAGATAGGTATTTAAGTTGTGGCTTCTTTAGTTTTAGCCATATATAAACATATATAAATACATTATTACAGATATATAACATTTCCCTTATTTCAAATAGCAGATAAAATAATTCTAGCAGCATGATAAAATTCTGATACATTTAAAAAAACCTCCATGTCATTATTAACATAATTATCAAATAAAACTTAATTGGGTATATTTTTAATACATATTAGGTAAATATCACTAGCAACTAGCTAGCATTTATAATTTATATGAACTTTAATGAAAAAGTATATAGATAAATTATGTGCCACATAAGATATATGTATATAAAGTGTTTTATATAAGGTGTAATTTTTGTGTGATACATATATAAGATGAGAAGCTTTTAGCGGATTATAATTGAAAGGGTGTACATGGGACATTAAAAGGAGTGGTTTCATTAAAAAGAAGCTGCAAAGTACTTTAAGATAAAAATCTAAAGTCATAGATTCATATGACCTAACGAGCAAGAGCATGTTGTGATAATTTGTTACTAATATACAATTATTTTTATACATTTGCACATATAATAAAAAATTCAACAAATGCCTAAAAAAATTCATAATAAATACACAAATTCCTAATTTATATATATGTTATTCATAATATCATCATAGATTTGTTCGAAAAAGTTCAAATATATGTATACTAGAAGACCTGGCGAACTTCGTATCACCCTATAATCAAGAAATATCTGTTACGTTTTTTTATTTATATTTTTGGAGTTTACCTATTAAAGCCATAAATTTCCATGTTTTGAAGTGCGACAGAATGATTGACATATTAGTTAGTTGTCAAATCTAATGTCAAAAAAGAACGCTTGTATCAACAACTACTAATAAATAAAAAATTAATTAAAAAAACATTGACCAACAGACAAAATTGAGAATCTAAACCATTCCCAGATCCCCTTGAACACAGACAAAAAATTTCATCAAAATCGGTCCGGTCGTTTGAGAGAAGTTCAGTGACATACACACTCACAGAAGAATTATATATATATAAAGATGATAGGAATATGTAGAGAAACAGTCTTATAAAAATGAGTACAAACAAGTGGAGGGGTCAAATCTTAGTACATTTGTAACACTAAATACTTTTATTAATATGTGCGTGGGTGGCATTATTTAAAATCATGTAGGCAGAACAATGTTCTTGCACAAGGGACTTACATTATATCTTTCTTGATTGTTGCAATAAATTCAAATATTAAAAAATAAAAATAAGTTCATATGTGTTCACTTGAATTAAGTATTGTTAAGATAAGGTTATAAGTCACAGATTTTGAATTTATTTACTTACTCCAAAAGAAAAGGAAGTTCTAAAATTACTGCACACTATATTTTTAAATATAGCATTAGCAAAAATATATCTAAATGCACACAAATAATATATGTGGATTATGTATAAATACATATAGATTGTGGGAAATGGAATATACAATGGATTTGGATGTTTTTAATAATTAATTTATATAGTATTAAATCAGTAATAAATTTTTAAAAATTATTATTTGGTTAATTTTATTCTTCAAAAGAAATGTATAGGCATAGCAAAATTTTAATGAAAGCAGATATTTAATATTTTGCAAAACAAATTGCAATGCATCAGCTGCCTCATCATAATGTTATTTAGGAAAATATTACTCCAATAAGAAATTGATTTACTTGTAATATGAAATTTAAGATTATTTATATGAAAAAATTTTTATACCCATATACTACTGAGTTGTTGTTGGGAACCACTTATGTTATATGCAATATTAAGGAAAAGACATATGTTATTAACTTGTATATATAAGTATTTAACATAATAACAACATGATTATCATATATGTATAAAGAATTTTACCTTATTTTCTTTATGATAAATACATAAGGCTTAAAGTTTGAATTAATATAGGTTAAATCTAAGTTAATGAATATTCTACAATATTGAACATTGAAAAGATTCCTGTATCTTTCCTGTTATATATTGAGATATTTAGTTAATAATATCAGATATTTTATTATATATAAAACCAAAATCAACTTAATTGCATTCACTATAAATATATAAATTCTAATAAGGAATGAGATCAAAGATTTTTGCGAGTACTAATTTAAATGAAACTAATAGTTTCGATATGACTGAAACATCAGGAATATGTACTTTATAGTAAAAATAAAAATTGCATAGTAAATACAAAAATATTAGTTTAAATTCTGATAAGGAAGTTAGTTAAAAATATTTAATTGCCTAGAAATTTCCTAAGAATTGTAATCCTGAATATAGATGATATATTATTCATAACATATATGCTCTGAAAATTTTAATTGGTACAAAAGAATATAGCATAATTCTGTTTTATAGTTCATGATACAAATTTGTAAATATGGTGAAATGAAATCAATAATGTTATTAAACAAACGCTGATAGTGTTTAATATTATCTACTTGAGAACCTCTATCAATAAGGAATGCACACATTTCCCGTCACTGATAATACTGAGTGGTGTGCGACCTTTGTGATAATATACTCAAGGACCTTTACTGGGTAATGTTATTAGGTCAATAACTTTTTAAGTTCATCGAGTATGTGTAGATTGAGAGTTTTAAGGTTGGGGTAATTTAAATATCAAGTGAACAAAATTATTGTGATAGTTAATATATATATAGATTCATACCGTTAGAGCTCTTCAAATCTCGATGGATGAGTGATATTGGTGCGTCTACGTGCAGGTACGCCATGCCGCGCGCCACCTGTATCGCCCAGTCCACCAAGATGCCCGGCCGGATCTTCCGTCCCGATAGCACTCTGTTCAAAGGCCCCCCGCGCGCGTACTCCATCACCAAACACAAATTAGGCTCCTCCAAACACACTCCCTTCAACGACACGATATTATCATGTTGCAACATCCAAAACAGTTTAGCTTCCTGTAACACACTCTCTTTAATCACTTCTATATCCTCGTTCGCGTCTTGCCGCGCCGCCTTCACTGCCACTACCTCGTCGTTCCAATAGCCACGATACACTTTACCGAATCCGCCCACTCCGATCACCTCCTCGAGCTTCAGCTCCGAGAAGGAGACGCGGGGAGGGTCGACGTCCCCTATCACCGAGGAGACGGCCAACGGGTCGTCCTCGGTCACGTACGAGGCTGGGAAGATGCCGACGCGATCGCCGATCTTACCCGTCCACCAGCCCTCGTCTCCGGAGATGTTGGCGTCCTTGGACAGCACCTCGACGATCTCGCCGCGGCGCAGAGAGAGCTCGTCCTCTCCCTGGGCTATGTAGTCGTAGACGGCGGTAAACAGAGCGAGTGGCGGACGATCTTCGGCTGCCGCCATAGCCGCGCGGCCGGCCGCTGGCCGCGGCGGCATCACCCCGGCCGGGCCATGGCGCTGCTCCTCGCTCACGCGCCGCGACACCGCTGCGACCTCCGCCCACTACAGTACATAACTACCAAAGTTCACGACGTTGCTTATGATCACCGTATTATTCCGCCATCTTTGTTTCCCACATCGATCATGGCGGTGTGTCCAAGCGGATATTTAGGGTCCTTTCGTTCGTTAGCTAATTCACGACGATCGTTTTCGAAATTGTTGTAAGAGAGTATGACTTGCTGCAGTAATGTTAATTATTCTCCATACATCTATCACGTTATTCGATAGACGGACGAAATGACAACCATACCACAGCGAAGTCAGTGACAAACTGTCACTAAATGTTACCATAACAATAGGAATCTCATAAACATATGTTATACAAAGCACAGAATTATAAAATAAATATAAAAACTTAAATTTAAATACAAAAATTAATTTTATGTAACCATAATTATTTATTGAAAAATAACATTTATGCATATTATTTCGTAGCTGGTAATAACCTCATTTACCTTAGGTTTGTATAGATGGCGACAATTTTCATTTCAATACAGACTCTAAAATAGTTGTGTATCGATGGTCACAGGACACTGCCATCTGTTAAAATAATTTGTAACTTTTTATTCAGTACTTGATGAAGCTAAAATTTGTTTCAGATACAATAGTAAATAGTTTTTAAGATGTACCTTTTTAAGAAAACATTGATTTCTTTTATAAAAGATTTAAATTATTTATTTTCATTTAGTATCTTAAAGTAAATTAGCATCAGGTATTTGTTTTCTTTTATAAAATATCTGAGGGTTTCATTGTAATTATAAAAAAATCGTAGTAATTTAATAACTCGATATTCAAAAATGTATATTTTAAATTTTCTTAATTTATTTGTATTGAGATTCTAATATTAATGTGTATGAATAATGTAACATTTTATTTAGTATTTCAACAAGCAGAAGAAGCGGTCCCATGGTGTAATGGTTAGCACTCTGGACTTTGAATCCAGCGATCCGAGTTCAAATCTCGGTGGGACCTTAAATTTCATTTTGCAGTTTTTTAAACTCTTTATTTTTTATTGTTAAACATAAATTATTATTTTAAATTTTAACTTAAATTCTCTTTCGGTAGTTATTATTTCATATTTCAGATGAGCATCTGACAATTTTTAAGTTGTTTCCACTGTGGGAGTTGTAGGGATGCTGGGTAGGGAGCATTATTGATCGCGCGAAAATAGGATGGCTGTATCCATTCGCGGCGACCACCCAGCCCGCGCGACGTGTACCGATTTTCAGCCTCAAACCACGCTTAAACGCCTTTAATTTTTGTTTCATAAACCATATTATCACTTAAATACTGCACCAGAGATTTACATCCAAAAATAAATGTCAAAAACACCAAGTCACAGGAGATACCAGTGAGAAACAACCTTAAAACGGCCACAGTAGACATGTTATAGTGAAAAATTGTGAAAAAATATACGTTACCATGAAGAATAAATGAAAAATATGTGATTTCAATGTTAAATCATAATATTAACGTCTCATAAGATGAACATTGATAAAGTTTAAAGTTAAACAATGTGTTAATTCATAATATCTGTTAGTTGAAATTATAAATACAATGGCTACTTCGCTATCACCGGGTTAATGTACAAATTATGTGTCACATCGAAAAAATGCTTATTTCTAACAGTTTTATTTTAAAAAGGAATTGGCTGAAGTGGTGTTGGCGAAAACGTTGGTATGGCATACAAAATTAAACTATATATATAAATATATACGTCTTAAAATCGTTTAGGTTATTTGGGTTCGGTTTTATATTGATAAAGATGAATTCTTTCAACGCACCTAATCAGATCAACTCTATTGACAAAATGACCACCGTGAAATGCAAATCCGTTGATTTAGAAGGATACGTCATTATAGTGGTGCAGACCAAGGATAATAAAATAAAACTATACGGTAAGTATACAATAGTTTTAACAATGCATACTTTAATTGATAAATATATATTAGCTTTGAATTTTACGTTTAAAATCGTAAGAATGAACACCAATATCTCATGAAAGTGACATAAAGTTACATTTTTATACATAATACTTTCATTTAACAATATTTTGTGCAAAATATATATTTTTCGGGCGTGTTTTATTCAAGTTTCATTCTCATGTTTCGGCATCACGCTTTTTAGTAAATGTTCACAGAAAATCTGGTTGAATTCTTTTTTAAATTTAATATAAAGACTTTTTTTTATTTAAATTTGTACTTTTCTTTTGTAATTCTCAAATATTTTAAAACAACTCTAACTAAAGACTGGTAACAATCGTCGAAATTTTGTTTCTCTGTAATCTTTTACTGTTTATTTTTTAAACAATTATCAAAAAATGTATTCCTATTTTTTCATTCATGTCATTTATTCAAAATACGTATAATTGATAAATAATTTTTTAAAATTGATTCTCTGATAATTACTTATAATTGATTATCGCATATTTTAGCACCTATTCATATAATTCTCAGTAATGTTCATACAATCGACGTTATCAGTATTTAATCCATATTTCAATATAATCCCTAAGTCATTATTAAAATATACATATTCAAGGAATTTAAAATTTTCTTTAAACGATTCATTTAGTCGGGCTTATTGATAATAGTAATTTGAGCTGGTTTCCGCAATACCAAATTTTAGCATATCTATCTAGAAATGAAAACGATTTTTGCTTATACTTGGTCAAGCCATTAACCCTGATGAGTTACGATTTGGTCTCCAAGAGTATTTTAACGAAGGTCTCTTCTACCAGCCATCCCCACTTACGACTATCGATGTTTTTTTATAACATCTAAATCACAAAAATATTTTGAAAAATTTCTTCAAATAAAAATAAAAATCTGGGTTACAAAAAATATTTTCGGACCATCCCATTTCGGCGTAAAAATATCTGCATAAGAATAGATATCATTTTGAACTTGTATTTGAAGGGTGAAGGGTAATTTTAGAGCAAGTTATCTTTATACCCAGGTTCGCCTTCAGCTGGCAACTGGGAGAATCTGGAGCTAGCTGATGAGATTATGGACGTGAATGAAACAAAACTAGAAGATATGACCAGGACTGAAGTGCTCACACACATACATGAGGTATGTATACAACTTATCCACAATCACTACTGAAATAAATGCTGCATACAATTAGATCCAAAAAAATTTTGTTGCCTTAAATATAATTTAAATTAAGCAAATAAATGTAGCCAAAAAAAAAAAGAGATTTACATGCTTTAAATGGATTTTAGTTTATAACTTACGATAGGGTTAAAATGCTGTTAAAATATTGTATGCCAGTCATTAAGTCTAGCTATTATTTACGGACTTATATTTTATGTAATTTGAAAAACCTGTAATTGACTAAAATATGAGTCACATTAATATTTCATACGCAATGGCAACATTTTTCATTTCATTTATTAAAACATAATTAAAATATATTTTAATGATTGTGTTCTTAAGTTGAAACTTGCATCAATAAAGATTTTTTGTAGCTTAATTTAAAGTTACCAATATAAAAACATTAATTAATGCGTCTATATATGACGGCTAGTAATTTTGTTTTGTCGCCCATAAAACAGAAAGCAAAGTTCTTTTCTCTTATTTCATTACATCGAATCAAAATCTTCAGCTTTATCATACTTGTTTTTCACTTTATATTAGTCGCGTGTAGCCTTAGTCCGAGTTGTCACTTTCACACTATATACGTAGCGTTTAGAGTTTTTCATGAATAAATCTCATACATTATAGTGTTAACGTCGGTTTTTGAATGAGAAACGCGAAAACGCTCGTATGTATTGTGACCATAGCTTGTTTTAGGCATATGGGTTGACTAATACTATAAATAATTTCTAGCTTATTAGTTACCAATACTTATTTAAGGCTAACTGGAAATTGCTTAAAACTTTATTTTTTGTTGTACAATACGTATTCTACTAAGAATATTTTTATTCATGATTTTCGTGCATTAACATATGTATAAAATTAGATATTTTTCTTACCACGATGTTATTTGATAAATATGACACAAAAAAATATTCACTACATCCCTGATATAATGAAATTAATTCGTAAAATTAAAATATTTTAATTGCAATAACTACTTGTCAGTTAAATAAAGAATTCTAGAGTCTGATAGTTTAAAAATACATAATGATATTTCCACATCTGTGTCAAGAACTATCTGGATCAATGAAAACTTATTTAGAAATTAAATATAATTTAAAAAACTTAAGACCTCAACTATCAGAATCGAGATTTTATATTTATCTAAGAGCAAAAGTTACATATTTTCGTTAAATTTTTAATGTAAAATCTGTATTATATATATATATAAAAAAAGTCGTGTTAGTTACTCCACTTATAACTCAAGAACGGCTGAACTGATTTAGCTGAAAATTGGCAGGGAGATAGTTTAGAGCCAGGAAATTGCAATAGAATACTTTTTATTTTGTTCGACAGCATTCTCGGTTAACTTGACATGAAACGTCAGTCACTATAAAACAAAAAATAATCAGACCTGGAAAAACAAAACGCAAATGACAGCGACGTAAATGACGTATAATGACAGATGTATAATGACATATGGATGACAATTTGATATTTGTAAGAATTCAATATATTATATAAAAATTATTTGCTGTTCGTTAGTCTCACTAAAACTGGAGAACGGCTGAACCGATTTGTCTTATCTTAGTCTTGAAATATTCCTGGAGGTTCATTTCGAGGAAAACCTTAAAAACAACCCTTTTCTATTTCCCAAAGAAACGTTTTTTTTTTGACATTAGATTTGACAACTAACTAATATGTCAATCATTCTATTGCACTTCAAAACACGGAGATGTATGGTTTAAAGGTAAACTCCAAAAATATAAATAAAAAAACGTAACAGATATTTCTTGATTATAGAGCGATACGAAATTCGCGGGACTTCTAGTTTCCAATAAAAGAAAGATTTTTTAAAGTAATAAATTACCATGTTAAGTACATGGTAATTTATTTATTTAGGGACTCTTACTGTCAACATTAAGAATGACTTTGTATTTGTTTAATAGCTGACAAATTTCAACCAAGTGCCGTATGGTAAACAAAACTATATATTAAATTGTCTGTTTATAATATAGATATTTTTTATTAACATATAATGTATATGTTAGGTATATAACAAGCATGTAATGACAAGACTTGTCAAATTTACCCCCAAAAATGTACGACTCCTGGTTCATTTGTACGGTAAGGGATTGTTCGAAATATATGTTGTTCGCCTCTGGCAATGATTTGTTTTATGTTTGCATAGGAAATAATTTTTCGATAACAAAAAATCCTCGAAAATAATAAGATTTTGTTTACTGGAAAATGTATTTTTAATATGATAGATTAAAACGAATTAAAATATATATTATTACTATACATACATACATGTTTATATTTGTGTAAAATAGACCCATGATTAGAAACTCGTAAACAGATTGCTAAAACATTTTTCATTAACGCCTTAAAACTTTCAGAGTAGAGATTTTTATATCAGTTTAAATGAAACTAATGTTTTCGAATTATTACGTGTATTTTATTACATACTTTTAACGGGCAGACGAGATGTCTACACGTGATCACTGTTGCTACAAAGTAACCGATACGTCGGGGTATGTAGTTAGAACAATAATAAAATAACGCGTAGTAATCCGAAAATATTAATTTCATTTAAATTAATACTCGCGAAAGTCTTATACCTCATTATTCTTATAAGCATTCTTCCTACGTAAGACATATCAAGGATTTTTTATGTCGATTTGGAAATGACAGGTCTTAGTTTTTCAGAAGACCGTCTGCAATTAGATTGTCTCTGACTGTTTCCTGACCCCAGTAGACTTTATGATTTTCCACGCTTCCTTTCAAACGATTGTACTTTTAACAGAAATCTTTTATCATATGAGATATATTCAAATTCACAAATTTTTATAGCATCCTTAAATTAATATGTATCAAATTTAATTATAAGTAAATAAAACCAGTTTATATTCAAGGAATGTAATTATTAATTCAAATTTTAAAAAACGGTTATAAGTTTTACGGGCACGATTTGATCGGAACTATATGTATATACTTGTACATAATATATATTAAGATCTATGGTTTTTTACTCAAGTTTTACTTCTAAATCCTAAAAATTCTACTTTATCCAAAAAATTCAATTGTAACACAGTAACTGTAAAGTATAAATCAATTCTATTCACAATCTGTGAGAGTTTTTTTGAGGGGTCATTGAAAAAAATGTAAAGTTCAAATATGTAGCTTAAAAAAATATGTAGCTTATTTCTCGTAATAATACCCAAATATTAGATTCTTTTTTATTTTCGCGAGTATTCATTTAAATGAAACTAATATTTTTCGGATGTACTACACGATTTTTATTTTGATTATAAACTACATACTCCCGACGTTTCGATTACTTTACAGCAACCGTGATCACGGGCAGATTTATTTGATTTCTTGATCAAATATTATTCGTTTTAAAGGATTTATTAGATGAAAAATTCATATAAAATTTTAAATAAATCCTCTTAATTCTTAACAATCATATAATATTAAGTTCTGTTTAATATATATTTTATGTATCACTCATAAACAGCGGCATGAGATTAATAAAAACTATGTTCTTTATTACCAAGTTGACTTGTAGATTCAACATCTGGTCTTGGCAGTTCTCCAGCAACGAAACAGTTAGGTCGCTCTGGCTTTGAGCTCTAAACTTTATTAACAATATTATAGAAAATTTGTACACTATTTTACAGCCAACGGACTTTTTGTATCCTTTTCTTTACTCAAATACTTAAAAAAGACGTAAAAAATATATTAAATCCTATTAATCTTCTCTGTTCTATCTATCTATAAATTTAATACTTAAAGATGATTTATATACAGGGTGACTGGTGAATTACTATCGATATTTGAGGAAGTGATATTTGACGATCATATATGACAAAATAAAAATTAATATAACATAAATATTAATAAACTTCTAAGTAAAGTTAACCAAAAGTTATGTAATTAATTACGCATCGTGTGAACACCCTACAGATTAGGTATACACTGACACTCACACATACGCATGTCGTGACGTGTTGTTGTATCAGCACGCCGCCGCACGCGTCCACACTTGAACACTTGGAACGTGTCAACACTTTACTTATTTATACGGAAATTTTGTCAAAAATTAAGTGCCTATTTTTTTTTACATAATTCGAATGAGAATCATGTACCGAGTATGCTCCTTAAATATTGATAGTAATTCACCAGTCACCCTGTATATATTAAGTCTCAAGTGGAAGGAATAACATTACTATCATTACTAAAGTATTAACTAAATTTATGAAGTTATTACACGAACTGGCGTTCCACGTTTTAAAATGGGTATTAAGATAATTTAGAGTTTGTAATATAAATATTAAATACATTTGACGGCTAGTATGTTTCATAATCTGTTATGTTATAAGATTAAAAGGTTAAATTACTTGTGGAGTTCAAGTTTGTATATCCGTTGTGCTGGCTGTTCGCCAGAGACATGTGCCCTCGCTGTAAGCTATACAGACTCGATGTAATTAAAATGTTATGAAACTATGTATATATAATTAAATTGTTCTATATAGCTGTTTTTATTAAAAAATATCTTTTTCATCAGCCTATTAGAGCTGTCTCTTCCTCCACCGTATGTCAGTGGTGTCTAAATATTCTTAGAAAGTACATATGACTCGGAAAAATCACATTGATACTTGCCTGGATCGAACCCGCACCCTCGTGCACGAGAGGCGGTCCTTTAACCACTAGACCACCACGATTTAAAAATATCCTAATTATATAATTATTACACTTCATTTCTCTTGTCACAGAAGGCTATAAGGTATTCATTACTTTCTTACTCCGTGTTGCGTTAATATTTTATTATTACTTATAAACTAGTAAATACAAGACTAAACATATAATTAATACATATTTTTGTTGCAGTGTATATCATCGTGCGTTATAAAACTGCGAGTGAAGAGACGGAGTGAAACTAAGCTTTGTAAGTATATCCCTACTAATATTATAAATGCGAAAGTAACTCTGTCTATGTGTCTGTCTGTCTGTCTGTTACGCTTTCACGCCTAAACCATAGAACTGATTTTAATGAAATTTAGTACAGATATAGAGTTAACCTTGAGAAAGAACATAGAATAGTTTTTATTCCAGACTTTTGAAAGGTTCTCTTGGAAACGCGATGTAACCGAACTCCACGCGGATGAATCTGCGGGCGGAAAGCTAGTATATATATAAGATTTTCATAGCATTACTGCTAAAGAATGAAGCCTATGGCATCAGTATGCTTAGTCCGAGTGCATCGTTACTTATAAACAGAGCGTTAAAAGTTTTCGTTCGTAAATCTTCTCATACTATAATATTAGCGTAGGCGATTGAATACAATACGGATGACGCTTCGTATGTAGTATGAAATGCGAACTTAGTGTAATGCTGCTGATGAAATTATTCAATTAGAGCCTAGCTGTGGTTAAGTTACTACAGCTCGAACATGTGCTGGCTCGACTGGGGAAGTATCACCCTCTCACAGAAGATCGGCGTGAAGTAGTCTTTAATGGCTGCGTTTCGTCCGATGAGTCTGTTGCCCGTTTCCTTTTCCCACCCTTGTTTGCTCATTCTCTTTCCTACCCTCTTCTCTTCCAGTCCCAAAATCAAGGACTGCAACGTATCAGCAAAATAATGGATGTTGCATATGTCAATCGGCGACAGTACTACCTTCCATCAAATAGGCCATCTGCTCATTTGCCGTGTTTCAATTCTGTCTGCCAAAAAAAACTGCTGTTAGTTTAACTTCTAGAAATACTAGATCCTCTCAAATCTTTTCCTCAGTTTATTCTTCATCCATACCTAGTGGACACCTAGGTCTTTCTATTTCCTTAGGCCATACTATAGTATATCGGAACTTTTGAGTTTTCTGCTCATTTTTCTCAGATAAAACCTGTCAATTTTACAAGACCCATACTAATTTTCTTCTTCTATATATATAAAAATGGATTTCTGTTCCTTAGTCTCACTAAAACTCGAGAACGACTGAACGGATTTATCTTATCATAGTCTTGAAATGTTCGTGGAGGTTCAGGGAAGGTTTAAAAGCTGAATTTTTTTTTATTAATTTCCGGGAAAACCCTAAAAACAGCGCTTTTTTATTTCCCATACAAACGGTTTTTTGACATTAGATTTGACAACTAACTAATATGTCAATCATTTTGTCGCACTTCACAACACGGAGATTTATGGCTTAAAGGTAAACACCAAAAAAATAAATAAGACATAATTTATTTCTTCATTGAGGCAGTACGAAGTCTGCCGGGTCAGCTAGTTTGTTATAAAAATTACAATATTATATGAAATAACATTATATTTATAACTATATTTAACATATATATGTTTATGTCATAATCCTACATTTTGTTCTACTAGTTTTGCATTGCTGTAACTATAATGTAATTAGGAGGCGAATGGCTTCCACGGAGCGATCTCTGTGGCATTCAAAAAATATTAAACGTCACTATTACAATGGAATAGAGTCTATTATTGATTAACGGTTTGTTTGATCCAGGAAAACGTTTCTCTCAATACACCAAATGTTTAAATGTAGTGACAAAGTTCTAAAATAGTGTCGGCGAGCTCCGTTTAGAACCCTGTCGAAGTGAGGTGTTTGCGGTTAAAAATCGTCTGTATTGTACAGTTGGCTAGGTTCTGTCCGACACAGCCTTTGAGTTAACGTTTTCAGTATTGCTATAGTAAATAAAATTACTCTATTTTGGTACTTAAGCATAACTAATATAAATTTTAATTTCATAGATTAAATTCGCTTTATTATTCCAATAAAAATAGGGAGAAAAAAAAAACTATTTTTTCCAATTATTCGTTGTAAAATCTTATAAGAATCTTGTTATATAAAATTAGATTTTACTGTCACTTTCAAATCTTACCAATAAGTAAAAAAAATGTCAGGACACGAAAACAAAATGATATTTATATATAAACGAGTGTTTCGAAGATTTACCTCAAACATTGTAATTATTTTAAGGTAAAATAGCCACGATTATGGCAACACCGTCAAACTTGTGTAAGTGAGACAAAAATCGCTTGTCGAGTTACACGTACCGAGAGCTCTATAACAATTACAAGTATTGTGTTTTAATATTATTAATATATATATTACATGTATATATAAATTATCGTGTTGTGAGGTGTCTGTGTAAGTGGAAAGGGGTCAATGAACTCTGAACGAAACAGGGTTAGTGCTCTGACAGTTATAATTTATAGGATTAAATTTAAATCTTGGTTACAACAGCACATACAAAGCTTAGTTATAGAAAATTTATAAGTATTAAAATATGTATTAAATCCACATCGGCTGAATATCATAAAACTCTAGTCACGATTCATTAAAAAAAAAAAAAAACAAATTCAATCACACCATACCATATAATTATATATATCAATATATAATTTCAAAATTATAATATTAGAAAAATATAAGTGAATCCAAATTGATATAACACCGGTAAAAACCAGCTATAAAAAAATTATAGTGATTGCAAAAACCGGTCAGCCTTGGTTTGAGTCAGCGCTTCACTACGTTGATACAGACAGAATAGAAAACTTACAGATAAAATATAATTAAAAAGAACCGAATATTTAATATAGAATATAATAATAATATTAATAACTGACGGAATATAATATTTCTGTGTGTAATTATAAGTGTATAATGACAAATATTTGACGTCACTCTATTTACATTCAAAACACGTTGTACATAATATGAATCATCAGTACATAAGTGAATACATTATATATTAATCATCATACCTACAAGTATATAAAAGATCAATTCTATATATAATTTTAAAATACATAAACGCTTTATACTTAATACGTATATATGTGCACACTTGTCTGTTTGTTACTGATAAACTTTTAAACGGCTGGACCGATTTTGATGGGGCTTTCATGAGTTGAACTCTGATTTACTAAGAGTAGTATAGGATACTTTATAATAGTAATTTTATTTCGCATCACAGTTAATTTATGATATAAATTCTGTAATCTATAAAGATATAAAGTTTAAAGTGTTATAAGTAGGTTTATAGGTAAAATTTGTTTCCAATCTTCCAATAAGATCCTTACAAGCAATCCGTTCATATATTCCAGTCATCTGAATATTATACAAATACATGAGAAGTTTAATATATTTAAACATAACTTCTTCTTCTAGCTGGCAATTTCCCAGCTATAGCCAGGTTCTGCCTTACATGTTGTGAATAGTTTTGGCTGATTGTTTTTACGACCGGCCGCCTGCCTGACATCCATCTTTGGGAATTAAATTAAACAGAACTTATTATTATAAAATAATTGTTGTTTTAATAGAGAGTAATATTAAATGGTTTTAAGATATAAAAATAATTCATATTATATATTAAGTGATGTAAATATAATAAGAATGTTTTAAAATAAGTTCGTGATAGGCTGAATTTACTTAAATTCATTTAATTAATTATTTAAATAACTTCATTTAAACTGCATACAAAATAGCAGAATTCAATTTTTGTTATTTCTAAAGCTAACATTAATAATAATTTATTCTTATTGTCATATAATATTAATTTTAATATTTCTGCAAATCAATTTGCCATAAATATAATTGTTTGACGTAAGAGGACGCGTCTCTCTATTGTTAAATTCGACACATAACTGCGCATGCGCATCTAACTTATTGTTTCAACTCCATTGTAGATATGGAAATTTGTATTGTCAGAATACAAATGGAATTCCATAACTCATGAATTTTGACCTACATTAATAATGTTTTAAATACTCTTTTATACTTTATATGTTTTTAGAGCATTTGCTATTTGGGTTTTAATTGTAGGTTTTTCGCCTGAGCGTAATAAAGAGTTTTTAAATATACGAATGAGGTTGCATATTTTATTGTTTTATTATTATTTGTAATTTAAGGCTCAGTTTAAATATGTTGAAGTTGAGTTCTAAATCTATATATTCATAGCGCCTTTTACTTTTTCTGTGTACCGTTCTATCACCGATGCTATGTACACCTCTGAACATATAACGCCTTAAATATTTATACATGCAACTATGATCTCTATTTACTATGAAATATGTATTATTATTGCCAGTTCTGTTCCGTTGCTTGCCGTATGAAACTGGTTCCGCAGTTAGCGCAACACTAAGTGACCAACATTTGTAACATATCAAACAAATACTGACCTTATTGCGACGATAATTAGATTTATTTTTAAACAACTCAATCCTGATATGATCATTCTGTGATAGGTTATCATTGTAAATGATGTACGCAAAGGAATTTAAGTTCTATGACGTTAGTATTAGGTTTGTTTCAGATTGAGAAATAGATCGCTTTGGTTATGTATAATGTTATTTAAGAAGAATCATTAATTATAAGAATTGCATTTTTCAAGTATTTAAATAATGTTAAGTAAATTTGTATCATAAAAGAAAACACTTATATTTTGTTTTTGCTTAACTTCTTAGTTTATACGAAGTACGGACTACGTGTTATGAGTTGAAAGAAATTTAGTTGGTTTAAAGTAAAAGGGACAAAAATATTCAGTTTTTTCAATAACATGATTACTAGGAACGTCAAATGATCTAAAACAATAGAGTTAAAGTCTAAATAAATATTTATTGAATACTAGAAACACCATAAATTGTATATTCTATAATTTTTCAAAGTAGCCTTTTACAATGTATATCAGAGCTAGAATAATATGACGAGTACTTGTGATTAGAGGTGAATAAATATGACTTTGGTTTTATGAAAGAAATATTTTGTAAATTTATCTGCCTATATATAAAAACGAGAATTAAAATTTTATTTAGCGTTTGTAAGACTGTATTTGGTTTGGTTCCGGTGGCCAAATTACTTTGTTAATTCAGGTATAATTACTATTAGTGCATATGGCCATATATCCCGGCGTCGGGACGTGACGACCCCATCGCCCACCGGTGTATTCCGGTGCAATTAGTCACGGGGGGGAAGGGCCTTGACCTCCTCGTAGTGTCTTGGCCCGGGCTGGGGGTGCAGCCCATGGAGGTGGGTAGGACGAGGCTCGGCGGTGTACACCGCCGCTGCCAAGTTCGGCCCTACGTGTTGGCGGGTGGCCTCGGCCACTGTCGGCGCAGTCCGGCGTCGGGACGTGACGACCCCATCGCCCACTGGTGTATTCCGGTGCAATCAGTCACGGGGGGGAGGCCTGGGGGTACAGCCCTGGGAGTAAGACGGTCACGGATCTGGCAGGAGGCCGTCCGTGGCTGTCTTGGGGGGGAGGAGATACTCGGGTCTCTCCGGAGGCCTGAGTTCGCTTGTGGTCAGTCGGTTTCCTCTCTGTCTGCCGTCGGGCGCTTGCGCTCGTCGGTGGGTGGTTGGAGACTGACCGCGTGGGCTTGGGTGGGAGGGGTAAGGGGTTAACCCTCTCGCGATTAAGCAAGCCCGCCAGGCGGGGGGACACTCCTGGTCACTTGGAGTGAGCCCTCGGGGGGGGAGGTGGCCGTTCGCGGCCCGCCGCCGGATCGTCGCGGATGCATGCTTCGGCGTTTCCCGTGGCGATCCACTTGGCGGCAACGGAGAGTGACCGCTGGTGTTTTAGTGGGTAACATGGGCCCTTCTGGCCGTGAATCCCACATAACCGCCTCTGTCTCCCCTAGACGGAGGGGTAGGTATAAAACCTTTCACCGCGATAACAAAAAAAAAAAAATATGGCCATATACACATCTCTGATAATTTATCTTTTAATAAACTCCATTTATATCATAATAATAGAATATTTCATAAGGAAAAATATGATAATTCCCGTATGTACCTACGTGATGATTTAAACTTGTTGAAAGCATACAGGAATCTGCATGTTTTTGGATAATATTAAAGATATAAAACCCACGATCAAACTTGTGAGTTACTCAGTCTAAACTTTCTTTAAATTTTAAGCGAAATAGTTATTCTTTAAAGCAAGATAATATGTGTTTATAATCTAGATTTTAGAGGAACATTTCAGGAGGTTCTCTTGAGTGTCTATTTTTTTAGTACGAGTTTTCATATTTTGTTCTAGGGTATATTCATTTTCACAACGCTTCCTGGTAGATGATTGATTATTGAGTTATTACTCTTACTAAGTCTCTAATGAATCAAAATTGGATATATTTCCTATTACAAGGAAAGGCTTGAATTTCTTTGCAAATAGTCTTTTAAACATAACGTGTTTATATTTTGTTGAAAAGAAAATTTTAATAAATGTTGTATTACTCATATAAAGAGTTAATTATTTGTTTTATATGTAAGTTATTGTTTCTTTATTAGAATATATTGGATTGTGATTTCGTGTTATTTATTTAGTGTCGTCAGGAATCAAAATATATGTAAAAGAAGAGAAATATAAATATCAAATTATTATGGAATGCCAGTACTTATATTTTAATGAAAATTTACATTAACATAACTTCATTCAGATTTCAGTCATTTTGTATTTTTTATTCTGATATTTAATTTAACATAATTGTAAAAATTATATAAAAACTTTTACGTTATACTAAAGTTAGTACGAGCATATTTTTGTCATGGTTTCGTTTATCTTCTATCTTCTATATATATAAAAATGGATTACTGTTCCTTAGTCTCGCTAAAACTTGAGAACAGCTGAACGGATTTATCTTATCTTAGTCTTGAAATGTTCGTAGAGGTTCAGGAAAGGTATAAAAGCTAAAAAAAATTGATTTATTACTGGGAAAACCATAAAAACAGCCCTTTTCTATTTCCCATACAAACGTTTTTTTTGACATTAGATTTGACAACTAACTAATATGTCAATCATTCTGTCGCACTTCAAAACACGGCGATTTATAGCTTACAGGTAAACTCCAAAAATATAAATGAAAAAACGTAATAGATATTTCTTGATTATAGGGCGATACGAAGTTCGCCAGGTCTTCTAGTTAAAAATAAACCAACGAATTGTTTACGTGACCTAGAATTGTCAGATTACATTACTTAAAATCATACGCGGACATTCATTACTGTCTGTCTGTCAACATGGCTTCTCCTATGAAGCCTTACTAACTTTCCTTTATAACATACGATTTATCGTATGCTGTAAACGGGAAGTGTCACGACTTCACGACTTTTGATTTGAATTCACTTCAACAGTTAGTAATAAAATATCATAATATATTTACTATTTCATCAGCACATACCTACTAATATTATAAATGCGAAAGTAGCTCTGTCTGTCTGTCTGTTACGGTTTCACGCCTAAACCACTGAACTTATTTTAATGAAATTTGGTACAGATATAGAGTTGACCTTGAGAAAGAACATAGAATAGTTTTTATCCCAGACTTTTGGAAGATACTCTTGGAAACGCGATATAACCGAAATCCACGCGGGCGAAGCTGCGGGCGGAAAGCTATTACCTATATTATAACTGATTTCAAATGATGGCTTTTAATAATCATTTAATTTTCTACTATAATCAAGGACTTCATTTGTCTTAAACGAAGCCATTGTTTCAGCTTCTCTTTATTTAGAATGAGTCTTGGAGGAAGCCTGTAGGAGCACTTAGAATTCAGAATTCTGTGTGAGGGCGTCACAATGCCGACATTAGTCAACTCGATTGCCTCACTATATTTAATTCGAGCACGCAATTTAGGCCATTATCACGTTTTTGTAAGGATAATAATAGCTTGCACAAATTTTAATCATCAGTTGCCTAACTTCGTACGGGACACTAGTTTTACTTGTGTGATTTTTAGTCTTATTCACATGTATTACGGTTTATTTTTGAATGAGAGTCGTCTCAGCCTGACTTGAGTCACAAGCTGTTCAAGAATGTAGAATTGATTGAATAGGAATAGAATAGTTACATAATTGTAAAACAATGAATATTTTATATACAGGGTGTTGTCACTAAATCTAATATATTAATTTAAATACTTTCATTAGAATTAAAAGGAATAAAAACAAAGGAAGAATAACTGAAGTTGAAATTAATATTTATGTGATATATTTATTACAGCCTGTTAATTATTGGTACAGTTTGTATATGTAGTTTGTTTGAAAGAGGATGAGATACTGTTACATCGATTTCTTTCCATCCTGTATATATCCGGTACAATAAACCGTTGGCTAGATCATATAAATTACTAAGACTTACTGACTTACATTTAATCTTCATGTACTTTCTAAGACACAAATGCAATTTGCAATTTCAAACAAAGCCATTAGAAAACACAAGCGAAAGAAGTTGTACTAGTGTTTGAGGTTTTCTTTATATTGTGGGTTTGATTCCAGGAAATGAAATAAATTTCAAATGTACTCGAGTATATTGGGTATAACCATAAGTTTTCGTCGTCAAATTAAACAGAGATTACAGAGTTTTATACTTTAAACATAGCAGTTGATAGTATTTATATAGTTATATGTGCAATATAAAAACTGCCTGTATTTACTCAATTATGCTTAGCACAAGTTTCCATAGTCATACTACATACACAGAAATTCCCGTTTCTAGTACAATAACCTACATATAATATGTAGTATAATGTCTGAACATTTATGAATGAGAAACTGTTACAGCCTCGTATAGAGTGACGATTCAAAACTTTGCGTAAGCATATTGTTTAATATTTAGGACAGATATTATAAATGAATTTATCTTGAGACAGTGAGGATATGCCTATAATGAAACCTTCAATTATCACCTGATTTAATCAACTAATGCCTTCAAATACAAAATGTTGCAACGATCATAGGAGACTTAGCATTATAGAATAGTATAAAGTAAATTTTACACATCTTCTACATATATGTATCCCTACTAGTTCCTACTAATATTATAAATGCGAAAGTAACTCTGTCTGTCTGTTTATCTGTTACGCTTTCACGCCTAAACTACTGAACCGATTTTAATGAAATTTAGTACAGAGATAGAGTTGACCTTGAAAAAGAACATAAGATAGTTTTTATCACAGAATTTTGAAAGGTTCTCTTGGAAACGCGATACAACCGAAATCCACGCTAGTCATGTATAAAGATACTTGATCGAAGAAAACTATTTGACGGAAAACTGACTAACTTAGTGTTTAAACAATGCTTTATTCATTTATCAGTTTTATTATTGGTCTATACCTCATGAAAACCACAGTACAGTAATTTAGACAGCAGAATGAGTAATTCTTCTTTTCTTTCTTATATATGTAAGTTTTCTCAATAAGTTTATTTCTTCCAGTATCAGACATCGGTCATAACGTGATCCAGGATGCCTTCCTCATTGCTGTTGAGGAACAGGCGAGGCAGCGCCTCCAACGACTGTCCGCTCTCAAGAGAATCACTCCAGTTGATATGTCCAAGCTGTCTGCTGAAGTAAGTATAATGTAGCGTCCGACAATGTCTTGTCTTTTATGAATAGTTTACAAAGGTTTCATATTAATAATTTTATAAATATTTAAATGAAACTAATATTTTTCGGCTGACCACATATTTTTTAGCACGTCTGCCCGTGATCACGGTTGCTGTAAAGTAACCGAAACGTCGGGAGTATGTAGTTTAAAAAAAAATACGCGTAGTAATGCGAAAAATGTTTGTTTCTTTTGAATGAATACTCGCGCAAATCTTAGTTCTCATTATTATAAATATTCTACGTCACATACATGGCATTTTGTTTTTTGATATCAAACTATTGAATTTTGTTTTTTGATATCATTCTATTCATTTGTTGTTAAAGCTGTGTGTACTAATATACAGGGTGACTGGTGAATTACTATCAATATTTAAGGAGAATACTCGGTACATGTTTCTCATTCGAATTATGTAAAAAAAAATAGGCACTTAATTTTTGACAAAATTTCCGTATAAATAAATAAAGTGTTGACACGTTCCAAGTGTTCAAAGTGTGGACGCGTGCGGCGGCGTGCTGATACAACACCACGCCGCCGCACACATGTGTGTGTGTGGTGTGTATACCTAATCTGTAGGGTGTTCACACGATGCGTAATTAATTACATAACTTTTGGTTAACTTTACTTAGAAGTTTATTAATATTTATGTTATATTAATTTTTATTTTGTCATATATGATCGTCAAATATCACGTCCTCAAGTATCGATAGTAATTCACCAGTCACCCTGTAATTTATTGATTTAAATATAATTTAAAACTAGAATAAATATATCCAAAAAAATCTTTATGCTGTCTTGGAAATACGATATTTGATTAGTATTTTAGTTAAAGTACCGTGACACAAATTTTAAATTGTTATTATATTTAGGTACATAATTTTTTTTTCTATGAACCTGTTAAAGCTAGAAATAAAAACGATGTAGTATGTATTGATTAAGGCGCGCTGTATGTAGATGTATAAGTATTTTACATTGTATGAATATTATAACACACATTGTGAGTAGGTGAATCAATTGTTGAGTTATGTTGAAGTTTCATTGTTTGATGATGCTACGTGTACCGCGTACATCATCTTAGGTATCTTTAAAGATACTTGAAATCTTAATGTCATTTGATCCAAAATTTGGTCATCTATATTAGTAGTTTTATTTAAAATTATTTGTATTGATAAACGTTATAATAAAACATTATAAAATCGGTTCTCAAGTCATTGTTTTATTAAGTAACTTTTAAATCTGTTTTTTTTTGGTATATATATTACTTAAACTGTTTTAAATATCAATTTAAATTTTTTATTTATAATACGTACATATATATATATGACTATCATTTGAATATTGTTTTTATCATTGCAATGGTACATGTGTTTTTAATACATAAGGTAAATGCGTCAGTGTGGTTTGTTTAAATCGTTTTCCTTATCATAATAGCTTTATAGTCATATATTTTAACGATAGTATATGGAAATGTATTCAATTTAACTATATATATATATAGAATAAGGAATATAGTAACATAATTTCGTAATTACAATCGGTTTTGAACACTATAGTAACCATATACCATATTATTCAATATTCCGAAATGTTTATAAGACTTTCCTCAAGCTATTTCATTTATTCCTATCTTCTACCTGGCAATTTCCCAGCTATAGCCAGGGTCTGCCTTACATGTTGTGAATAGTTTTGGCTATTTGTTTTTACGACCGGCCGCCTGTCTGACATCAACCCTCTTTTGGGAATCAACATTAATCAGTGATGTCTAAATAGTCTTAGAAAGTACATATGACTCGGGAAAATCACATTGGTACTTGCCCGGGCCAGAATCGAACCCTCGCCCTCGGCAACGCGAGGCGGGCCCTTTAACCACTAGGCCACCACTGACTTTCATGTATATCTATATCTATATTTAAATATTCTCTTATAATTCATAGTAGATCATCAATTTGACTTCAAAATGTCATATGTTTAAACGCTCATTACACTGCATATAAGTCGAAGTGACTTCACAAAATATGGTATTTTTCCTAAGTGAAGTCTGAACCTTCCAAATCCTTTGAGTCTAAACCTCATATAAACCAGCTTTGTGATAACAAGAAGGATTTACAGTATAATAATTTATAACTGTAGAAGTGAAGAAGGTTTCATACGTATATTTCAATCATCTTCATACAATATCATAGTTATTAAGTAATTATATATATTTATATTTCGAGGGTATTTACGGTGAAGAAAAACATCGTGAGGAAACCTGGACTTATAATTTCACAATTATAAGTTTGAAATCACCAATCCGTCTTGAGCAAGTGTGGTGATTAATGCTCAAACCTTCTCCATGTGAGAAAGAGGCCTTGCTCAGCAGTGGGCTCTGATAGGCTGATGACGATATATTTACTAAATAAGACGACTTAACGGCAAATAATAAAATATAAATATTTTTAAATCTATTTAAAGACGACCTTTATTTATCAAATATGTTTTTTATAACCGAGTATATTTCTTTTATTCACATTTACCGTAATATTCGTGAGTCTTGTTTGGTGTGATTTATTACAAGGGGCACGAGTGGCGAGCTTCAAAAGGCGTCCACTAAAATAAACGCTCTATTTCAGAACAATAACTCATAAAAATAAAAATTTTAACAAACATTTTGTAACCAAATCCATGAACGTTGGAAACTTATATCACAAACAAACTGCTTTAGTATACACTGACTTATATGTATTATCTTCTTCACCACTTAAAAAATACGTTACACAATTAATGCTGTCTTTTTTCGTGCTGTCTATTAAATGAAAATGCTGCTCGTAACTGACAAACCATTTGTTTTATTAGTTACTAGTTAAACTGAGCTTATTGGTGACATTTTATACCTATGTTTTGAAGTGTGCCGTACAAACACTTACAAACCGATAAGAAATTCCATCTCGATAATACTGCGTTTGTAATTTACATCTGATTTATGAGAATTTTCAGTCTATTAACCTCATTATTGAAGTACTTTTATTATGAATTATATAAAGGAAATTATATTATAAGAACTTAGAAATCACTGTGGAAGTGAAAAAATGATTATATGGAGTGTTTTTTTAATTAATAATGAATAATGAATCATGGAATACTCAATACATTGTATAGTGATGATTGAGAAAGATAATCATGTCTTGATTGGACTACAATAGCTGTGGTGTAGTTGATGAACCATTGTTATGTGTTGTACTCTATTATATAAACATAACGTGCTAATAACACTACATGTCACAGCTTTTAAACTCAAGTTTCAGTATTATTAAATGATACTAATATTTTCATACTTTGCAGTTATCGAAGTTATGCAGTATGTAGTTTTAAAAAAATGAAATAAGGCGTATTAATCTCAATATATTAGTTTCATTTTAATGCATATTCTCGAAAGTCTTAGATCGCATTACTCCTTTATATTTTAAAATCTTTTTCATATGTTCCATAGATTGTTTTCTTAACCAAACATTGAAAGTTTTATGAAAGAATTCAGTGAATACATTCTTTCGTTTTTCCTATATTTATACAATCATAATATAAATTATATTTCTGACTTAATTATTGAGAAGAATGACACTTGATATTCAATTCAAACACAATGTTCATGTATGTTTGTATTAATACAGTAATAATTCTTACAGTTAAACAAAAGGAAACGAACTCAGACCGAGAACCGTCAGGAGTTGAACGGTTACATAGCAAACTCGACAGTTTATGTGACATCTATAAACGAAAACGGTGCCATCGAGAGCAAACCCACGATATCATCACCGAAATCACAACCAAAATCACTCCAAGCTAAACCAGCACCACTAATAGCTAACGGCATCCAAGATAAGAAAGATTCTGTAGACGACATAGTAGAACCAGAAAAACACGAAAAGGATTCTAGTGAGAAAAGTTTGGTTGATAGTGATTTGAAGGAAAGTGAAGTGTTGAGTGTTAAAAGTGATGCGTACAATGTAGCGAGGGAGCACCTCAATAACGGAAGGTGTGAGAAACTATTGGGAGAACAGCCGGACCATAGGATACGAGCTACTGCTGTAGTGGAGAACAGTAAACTTGGACCGGGAGAAAAAGGGTGAGTACATACATCTTAATAGATCAATAGCTAATGACAATCTATATATAGAAAAAGTCGTGTTAGTTACACTATTTATAACACAAGAACGGCTGTACGGATTTGGCTGGAAATTCAAGGGGAGATAGGTTGGATTTAGGAGACGGACATAGGATGCTTTTAATTCTATTGAAAAAAAAATAAGTTGACCAAATCCAAAATCTTCTTATCTACTGTCTTTAAGGAGGAATAGAGTTCGCCCGGTCAGCTATATATTTATATGTACTAATATGATACTAATGCAGACAAAGTCACGGAAAAAATCTAGTATACTATATTAAAGAAAGTCGTGTTAATTACACTATTTAAATTGAAGAATGGCTGTACGATTTGGCTGGAAATTTGTGGGGAGGTAGGTTGGAATCATTAGACGGACATAGGATACTTTTGATTCCGTTCGGTCAAAAAAAATGTTAATGACATCCAAAATCTGTTTATTTTCTACCTCTAAATTGAAACAGTTCGCCTGGTCAGCTATACATTTCTAATTACAAAACTGACGCGGGCAAAGTCGCGAGTAAAAGCCAGTTATACATAAGACAACACTTTTATAATGCATGTATTTAAAACATCTTGGTAAATGTTTTTCCTTAATATGCTACAGTTAATGGTTATTTTAATTTGCCGTCTATGAGCTATTAGAATATGACAATCTATAAATGGAATTTTATCTACATTAGTTTTTATCGAAGCAACGCCCATACAGCTATTTGCTTAAAAAATGTCGAAATTTCGATGAAATTTGGAATTTATAAACAGAAACTTCGATAAGAGTTTATAATATTTCATTTATATTTAAAGAAAAGCTTAAAAAAATATAAAATGTATCTAGAAATTCTACTTTTACTTACCAATGTAGAACAGATTGTTCAATTATTTTTATAAAGTCAAAAACATGTTTTCTTTAATAATAATCATACTACATTTTTGACTTGATGTTTGAAAAGATTTTTGAATGAACTATTTACGGTCCGTATATAGCGTATCAATGAAAATTTTGCGTAAGCATATTGACATCAAATAGTCTTTAAAATTATGAAAAACAACGATTTTACTACTACCTAATACTTATTTATCTAATACCTACTGTTTATTTCCTAAAACGCAATTCTCAAAGTAATAGAATATAAAATAACACTAATATATAATCGATATAAAATTTATTATATGTGAGCAAAAAAATATCATTGTAAACGTTTTGGTTTATTTAATTTGATTTCATTTATTTAATTACAAAATAATCTATATATATAAAAATGGATTGCTGTTCCTTAGTCTCGCTAAAACTCGACAACAGCTGAACGGATTTATCTTATCTTAGTCTTGAAATGTTCGTGGAGGTTCAGGGAAGGTATAAAAGCTGAAAAAAATTGATTAATTACTGGGAAAACCATAAAAACAGCCCTATTCTATTTCCCATACAAACGTTTTTTTTGACATTAGATTTGACAACTAACTAATATGTCAATCCTTCTATCGCACTTCAAAACACGGAGATTTATGGCTTACAGGTAAACTCCAAAAATATAAATAAAAAAACGAAATAGATATTTCTTGATTATAGGGCGATACGAAGTTCGCCAGGTCTTCTAGTACATAATAAAAAATATACACTTTTCACGTGGTGTGTTAGTGTTATAAATTATTATAAACACAAAACTTATATACACAATTCTTATATTATATACCTATATATGTTCATATATGTATATACAGTGTATTAATTCGCATTGTGTTTCCACCTGTGTTTGTTCACAAGGGACCGTGACAGCTATGGCTTGAATTAAAAGAATATTTAAAATTAATTTAATAATTTATTTATTATAATTATAATAATATTAATATTCACATTGTTCAGGAGTTAAAATTATGTTAGCAAATTTATTTATTATTTGAAATGTCCTTGTTGACTTAAGAACTACATATATCAATAGATTCTTTTCTAAGTAGAATACATCTATCAAATGACGAAGTATATAATATATCATATCAATTTTAACAAAGCACGCACCATTTCTCGCTATTCTTTATATATATATGTGTATTAAAAATTATACTAATTCGAATTTAAACAAAAAAAGTAACCGGTTTAAAGTGTAATGAAGAACAAGTTAAAGAACCACAAGAAAATCAGGTCAATGTGTTTTAAGTTTATATTTAAACAGACTTAAAATACAATACACTCGTCATATAATATTTTCAATATTGTAGTTTGTAGTGAAATGGAAAATCTGCATTTATTGCATCACCGTGACTTTAAACATACTGCATGATTCTCAAAGATAACTTCTAAGATAATATTATTATATAAATGTACCTTATTGTTTTTAAATTCTTGAAATGTCTATACATATAATATGAGTAATAATTTTTCATATAAATTTTAAATGATTTCATAATTATGGATTATTTAGATGATTTGTATAGAAAATCGATTGTACATATGCTTACACGAACTTATTTTTTGTGACATATAGAGCGTTAGCAGTTTTTCATTAATAAGTCGTCACATTTTATAGCAATAATGCAGAATGGTTAAGAAACGGGAAACTCGGCGTATGTAGTGTACTCTCTTTCTAAGTATATAGGTAGTATAAAAATGTGAATTATTTTTAATATTTCATTTGAAAGACGGAAGATTTCCTACGTTTACTGGAGATTATTATTAAATAAACATACAATTTCTTGAAATACAATTTTCTATACACACCTCATGTATTAAGCCTGAGTGGCTAATCAAAATAAAACCAGTATGTAACCATTGCTGTTTTTCAATACTTTTTTATATAACATATCTAAATAATATAACTAAGAAAACATAACAAAAATATTATAATTATATAGAAAAAATTACTTCCTAGCGATTTAAAGAATGAAATATCACGTAATAGTGATTCACGTGTAATGAGGGCATGTATTAAAATACGAAGAGGAATTTTCTTGATAATGTCTAAAATATCTTTTGAACTATTCAGTTCTAGGAATAAAATATCTATAAGTTATAATACAATTCCTGTTAAGATCTACATATAACGGAATTCAATAAAGGCAGAACGTCATTTAACTTCCAAGAATCACGAAGAATTGTTGAAAAATTTCATTGTCTGTTACTTAGGAACCTTAATGACTTATAAAACAACGTATAAGCAGAATTAATAAGAAAACTATCTAATTGAAATCTTAAAAATATTATCATTAAATACATTTTAAGTATTTGTATTTTAACTCAATTATTTTAGTGACATTTATGTACTTCAGTCATTAATAGAAAAATTACTTCTTATTTTCTATTTAAAGTACGGTCCTATTTAAAAATATCTGTATTTTATAAATAATACGATGAATATTATAAGTGGCAATTAAACTAGCAAATGCTCTTTTAAACATAATTTGAAACAGTTGAATTTTTGAAAATAATGTATATAGAATCAAATAATTGGTTACTAATGAAGCGTTATTATTAATTAAATCAGATCTGTCCGTACCGTCACTATCTCGAGTTATCTAAAATGTTTAATTTCAATATTCACATAATGATATAACATCACGGAAGAATCTCAGCCAGTACGTGATAATATTGCGCAGTCGGCTGTAGGCTTCGGAGATCAGGCTGCGTTCAGACACTTGTCGTTATTTGAAATAGTAGAAAAAATATAAGCGGGGTTGCATTACCTGGCCCCCACCTGCGCGGGCGCATCGGACCCGTTTTTTTGTCTCTCTCCCACGCCGTCTCTCGCTCTCTCATAATTTTTTCCAACTCGCCAGCGAGCGGTCGTGTAGTTCTGTGTTGTGATAATATAACTGTGCTGTGTTATGTACCAATAAAAGGATGCATTACAAACTATTCAAAAGGTAACGCCGACTGTCATTACTAGTATTTTATAGATCGTTTTAATTCAATCTAGTTCGTTAGATTGGAACCGGTTTTAGAAAATTGCGAGCAGGTTCAAATTTATTTACATTTCTAGATCCGAACGTTAAGAGTTAAGTTTCATAGGTGAGCCATATACGGTTGGATTCCATAGTTTCTGTTGTATTGTGTTTATGTGTTGTGAACCGGTGCTGGCTGCTTGTGGGAGAGGCCGGGGGGCGTCGTTAGTGTATCAACGAGCGTGTAATTACTGGGAGTCAGTTAACTTTATAGTTATACCTGTAATGTACACATTATATTGTTCATCATAGATACCTCACTTACATCAGGGAATAACGAATTATAAGATTTAAAATTTTAAATACTTTTTAAAGGAGTCGTTGGAAAACTAACTTTGACAATAAGGTAGTTCAGTAAGAATTAGATTCTTTATAAAAGGCTGATATTTGTAGAATTTCAATGTTTCAATTCGTAAGCAAATCTTGGTTGCATTCATAAAGCCACAATCTATTTAATCTGTTAATTATGGAATTAAAGACAATTATCTCGGATTTGCAATAGACTGTTTTTTATGTCTATTTTTGAGTTTAAATTAAGATCAGGTATTTAAAAGGGCTGTACGTATGTATTTAAAAGCAACAGTTAAAAATAAATGTATTTTTATGAATTCAATAATAACTTTAACTCGAGTGTTACAAAATAATACTTAAGAAAAAGTTTAAACTTCGAGACTTTATAGTTTGAAATATTGTTGGTCTTTCTACGTGCATCCATTTTGTGTCTGTGTTGACAAAGAATTAAAAACTTTTGAAAAACGTCTTTCAAGTTTCGACAGTGATAGTAGAATATCAACTATAGTCTAAGAGCCCGTGAACCCCAGACCTTCGTTATTTTATAAAAGCTGAAAGTTTGTCAGCGCATGCTCCCAACACAGGTAAGAACGAAGGTCCATTATGAAATTCGGGTTGTAGTGGCTTTGGCAGGTAAACGGTACTAAAGGTGTGTAAAATACTAATATAGTTTCGTCAAATTATACAGAGCGATTTTTTGGTATTACCTTTAGAATGTTATTAAAAATCACATTATTCAT